TGGCTTCATCAGGGGGAAGTACCATGTCCCTTGACCTGCTGGCCACACTCTTTTTAACACACCCCAGGGTACCATTTTTCCAGCAGGTCAACCCCTAACCTGTATTGGTGCATGCAGTTACTTCTCCCCAGGTACAGGACCCTGCACTTATCTTTGTTGAATTTCAAGAGGTTCCTCTGGCCATTTCTTCCACTTGTGTTCAGATTCATAGACAGTGAGTGTTACTGCTTACTGAAAATCCTGATACTGTTGGAGAAGCTGAAATATTTTAATATATGTAAGTTCTTGTACAATCTGAGTACAATTTGAGAACAATGACAGAGATTTGATCAGAATATGTTACTTAATGTGAGAAACAGGCCTATGGACTGAACTGTGGCAGTCAGAAGGAGGAAGATGCTGGCCTGAATAGTGTAGGATTAAACAAGGATAATGCAGTCTACTTACTGCTGAGGAGTCAGTAGGTCTGGTGCGTGGAAAAAGTTGTAACGTGATATAAAACCATTAATTTTATGTCATAGGTTTGCAGCGGTTATCAAAACAACTAATGAAACTAATGAAACTAAGGGCATTTTGTGCAGGTGTTTTCTAGGCTTTTGCTGACATTCTCTAGGTCCAAGGTGGTGCAATTGTTAGACTGCTTAATTGGTGAAATCAAAGTGAGACTGGTGCTTACCTGATGTTGTAATATTTTGCATCTGAGCACATTTGAATGGAATAATTGAGATGCAAATTATTATTTTACCCCTCGTTTTCATTTGCTACAAGACCACAATCTGAAACATCGGGAAACTTAGACATAAACATTTTTGTCATATAAAAACATTTTGACAAACGTCTTCCTTTTTTTTTTATGTGTCTGTGTATTTGTTTTTCCTATTGTTATTGGGGAACACTTCATAAATTCCTGAAGTATTTCATTCAAGACAGCCTTTGAGCTGGGGAGATTGGTGTCACTTGCAGAACACTGTTTCTGTGTCAGCAAGAATCAGTGTATGTATGAATGACCAAATGCCTACACCAGAGCAAATTTCTACAACAGAAGATAATAGTCAAAGGCTTTCAGATGTCACAAAGGAAAAAGATAATAGTACTAAATGAATCTTTGTAATTAATCTAGTCCTTCTGCCTTGATCTCTCTCTCTCTCTCAAGATAAATGGCTTTTTCTGTAACCGTTCTGGCACCATTACCTCTTCTCTTCACCCCTCAGGAGAGCTTTTACCTTTAATTTTGGTGCATCCTGCTGTGGCCATGCTATTACTTAGCTATGACAAGAGTTTCAAAATTACAAACGTGGAGCAAGGGTTGCTGCATTTTGCTTTAGCCTTTAAATGTGGGTTGTTGATGCTAATATGCAGAACCCCTGCTGTGCTCTTTTTTCTTATTCTGACTTCCTTTTCTGTTACGTTTTACATGGAACCTGAGTGATTAATATTTCATCAGTTTTTCAGTGCAGCATGGCACAGGGATGTGTTGCATTTGGCTTTTCTGGAGCTGTACTGCCACTGAATTGTAACTATTAGCTGAAGTTGGACCTTTAATGGTTTCATGGGATCGCCATCAAACAGAAACAAACAACCGTTTGCCACATAATTAATCTATATGAAGTTAATTAAATACTTTCCTCTGCTTTGGAGGAAAGATAAATATATCATCTTTTCTACAATATGTCTGAAACCAGAGAGTACTAATCTGATTGTAGATAGCACAGACATCTTAATTTGATGTTTAATGTAGAAGTTAATATAGGATAGCATAGCTTCAATACTACAGTATTTTGTTAAGAAAACGGAACTGTTAAAAATTTTACAAAAATAAACTTTTATTTGTATTTTGACTAAGGAAATAATGAAATTACTTTTAAAGCTATATCAAGTGCACAAATATCTGCTAATGTAAGTTTACAAATTTTTTTTCATAAATTAAGCTGAAACCAATCTTTCATATTTAGCACTAAATTGTCTTGAATCTCTAGTAAGAAATGAAAAGAAAAATACATTGTAGAAACTTTTTTTCTAAAATTAATGTGTGTTCTATTGATGCATGTATTCATGTGTGATTCCTAAAATCCTCTTTTCAAATACACAGTAGGTTGAAGATCACGTGCATGTTTGAGCTGATCTTGCAAGTCAGTGATAGTGGTGTTGATGGATGATAATCTGGAGAGAGAATAGAATAGTAAGATTCAATCAGAAAAAAATATAATTTTAAAGAGTGGATAAAAAGTCAGCTTAGCTAAATCTCCATGCAACTGAAGCTGGAGAGTCCTTTGACTATATTTCTATTAAACAATCTATTGGAGTTAAAAAATGGATAATCCACATAAGTACTCTTATCAGAAGCCCTCAGCGCTTTATAGTGAACTCAGTAGGCTACAGTCCTGCTACCAAAAACTCAATGACTGCATTAAGAGTCAGAAAAGCAGTTAGCATTGACTTAATAATATACATGTACAATTATCAATTTTTGGTAGACATTTTGCCACTGATGTGGTTACTTTTTGATTACTTTTGTGAATCTTTAGCTAAAGGATTGCTTAGCAGCAGGCTTGTACATGGGCTTAGCTGTGGAAGACAGACACTGATCTCATGTAAAGCATTGAGCAAAAGCTTGAAAATGATGTATACTGTACATTAATCTTTTAGAAAATGAAAGAAAATTGAAAAATTAAATACATAATGCTTCTCATCTCACAGCTATAAAGAAAACGAATACTAAAACAGTGAACTACCTTAAATGTTTTTTTTTTTTTTTTTTTTTTTTTTTTAATTAATTTTCTCTTATCTATCAAAACAGGCTGGGAAATATTCTTTTGACCATTATTCCACTGAAGACATTTTTATTATTATGAAGATTTCCTTCAGAAATTAACAAAAGCAAACCTATTGCAGAAATTGCAATTGCTCTGTTTATTATTGGATTTGAATGGAACTACATGTGACCACATGGCATGGGAATGGAAGAGAAACTCTATTCAGTGTTGCCAGCGCACATTTTTGCCATTATTTTCTTTGAAGACTCGAAAACAGTGGGAAACTTTTAAAAAGTATGTCCAGGAAAATCAGGTTAATGCTTGATATCTTCAGCTAATGAAAGTGCAAATTCTTAAATCTTTCACTATTCGTGGTGGTGGTGAATGTTTTAAAAATGCAGCCTTAAAAATCTATTAAAAAACCCAAAAGAGATAACATGAATGTTTAGGGAGAGAGGAACAGCTCATTATTTCTGAATGGTTAGAAGCCGTATTGCTATGCATTATAATTTGGTGTCTTTGTTTCCATACTATCAGTAGCATATTAGCTGCCAAAAAAAAGCATATGCTGAAGCAGAACAGTAACATAAACCAGCCCTCTGTAGCCCAGGGGAGTACTCCAGTTGTCAGACTGTTGGGTGTACAGTGTTGTAGATGTCTCAGTTTGTCCCTCAGGAATCATCCCACCTTACTGCTGCAATGACTTAGCTTTAGTCTCACTTGCATTGCATTATAGCCCAGTAACAGGGCTGTAGAGTCACAGTGATGAAAAGTGATTTATTACAGGAAAAGAACAGCTCCAAAGAATAAATTTCTACATTGTTTTTGATGGAATAAATAAGATCCATTGGCTAGGAGATGCCTCCAAAAAGTATGTTAAAGTTGAACTCTTCTCTCTGTATTGTATGCAGAGCAGTAATTATTTTGGAAAGAAGCGAGTCTCCTATCTCCCTTTCAAAAAGTACTGGTTTGTTTCAGTTAAACAAAAGAATATATGAATTCGTAAAAATTTTTGTGGGATAGGGTAAAAAAATCTAAGCAGAGATGGCAAAAAAATCTCTTTCCTGGACCTGTTTCTCTTCCTTATTAAGCTGAGGAAACATGGCCAGCTCATATTCCCTCATGTTAGTGAGGTTTGCTGTGAATACATGGATAAAGCATTTCCCTGTGGAGTTTTGCATCAGATAACTCTGCCTGCTAGCATGGATTTGAGCACACCAGAGGCATGCCTCTAGCTGCTGGCAATATCATTTAGTGTAAAGGAATGCAGTGCTGATGAAACACACTTAGGGACTGGTATCCAAAGTCACAGTGATGGCAGTTGCAAGCTTCCTTTTGCTGTTTCAACTACACAACTTACCCTTTTCCTGGCACAGCCACAGAGATAAAGTCCTTATGCAGGCTCCATTTCCATTCAATATTTGGCCTGCTGAGAGTGTCAATTAAAACTGATTGCAGTGGGGTTTCATTTTGGGGAGCTTTGTGTAGGAAAAGCATTGAAATAACTAATATATTTTATTACATCAAGAAAAATCTAATTTCATGTAATGTACTCTGCTATCAATTCACTGTGCTTTGCCTGCAAGATGAATTTGCAGATCTGCCTCATTCCTGACCTGGGCTCAATCAGAACCTTCAGTCTAAATGTGTGTAAAATTCCATATCTCATTACTGGTCTCCTGGGTTTGCCCTAAACAAATACTGTGGATTGAAATGCAAGTTCATTAGGTTAAAGTGCTTAATTATCTTAAAACTCTTAGTGCTAGAGTCAGATGTCAGGATTTGATTAGCACTGCAGGGAGGCTCTGTAAGAAGCAGAATGGAAATAGCCATTGTCCTAGTATAGCTAAAATGCTATAAATATGTAAATAAGGACATAAATATGGATCTAGATGCTTACGCAATATTTCTTAACTCTCAAATGAAATAATTAACATAAGCTATTTTGATGTATCCATGCCTTTGATCTTTAATTATATCAATGCTACATTATTTAATATTCCATGACAAGTTGTCATAATCACATTTCTTTCAGTCTCATTTATTGCTTTCTCTAATTATTAAAGTGCCTCTTATTTGTGAAGTGTAGAAAAATTAGTACATTTTACTACTGACTTTAATGCACAAATCCCAGAGTTCTGGGGATCTCATACAGTTTGTGATGTAATAGTGAATTTTAACTTACAAAGATCAGTTTAAAATGATTAGTGAGCTACCTAGGGAGGAAATAGAAATGCTGTGGCTTACCATGAAACCATACAACTGTGTTCAAGCAGCCAAGAAATCCCCACCTTCAGGTTCCTCATTGGCTTTATTTCTTACCTGAGAAGAGTTTATGTACAGGAATGAGAGCACAAACTGATTTCCAAGAGACACAGACTGATGATTACTGCACCGTAAAGGTTTGTTTAACATGTACATATGGGGGGAAATGGAGCTTGATGATTTTTAGCATACTGTTTGAAATTCAATCCCTCAAGGGAAAGGAAAGGGCTGTGCAAACTACCAAAATCTCCATTAAATTCTATTATCCTCTGCAAAATATTGAAAAAGATGAAAATTCTAACTACTTACAGCAAGTAGCAGAGGATATTAAAAATAATCATTATATTACTCTTGAACTTACATGTGCATGAAATTATTTTACTTGTCTACTACTGGCTCCATGAGGCAGTTGAACAAGCCAATAGTTATTTTGTCTGCGCTAAGGCTCCTCAAAATAAATACATGCATACATATATACATACATACATACATATTTTCCCCATATAAGAATGTTCTTCTTAAGATATGATAATTTTCTTTTAAGAGCTTGAAATATTTATTGTAACCAATAGCCCAAGCTGAAGTCTGCCCTACAGCAATGTACTGAAAAGTTCCTGACAGATGGATTTCAAAAATTTAAGAAGCTGTAGTTTACCAGGGCTGAGGAAATGGGAACTAACATACCTTTAGCAGTGGCACTGCCTACTGCAAACTTCAGTGCTGCATAAGAATTTGATGTACCGAGGATGCAGCATCTCAGCTTCTCCCTTTGGATACCCAGTGTGCCACACAACATCCACAATGTATCTGCACCTCTGAAGCTAAGGTATTTAATCTGCTGTTTGCTGCAAAGTTGAAGTCCCATTACCAGCGTGAGGCACAGGGTGCATCCCTCCAGTCCCCACTGTGACAGCTTTGTGGTAGGAACATTTCACTTGCATATCTCTCTACTAATTGACACCATAATCAGATCTTTTTTTACATGGCCTCAAAATGACACTGCAAAGAACTAGGGCAATATCCTGCCATTAAGAAGGGAATGGGAACGGAATGTCAGCTAAGTGACGCAAGTATTAGGCCAGGTGGTGAAGAGGGCAGTATTCAGAAGGCAGAGCTGAGCCTGACCCTGATCCTACTCTCTTTAACATGGTCCTTATACATACCTGCATCCACACACAAGCTCTTCCTGAATAAGAGGAGTGTTCTCGGCTAAGCAGAAGTTGTAGCAGCAGTTTTTTAATCCTTTGAGTAGTAATGTCTCTGTGTAGAAATTATTTCTGGTAGGATCTCCTTTTGCCTTTTCTAGTAACGTTGACTTTATGCTTAGGAAAAAAAAAAGAAAAAAAAAGAACAAAACATTTTCTCTCAGAACCTGCCTTTGGAAGAAAATCTAACTGAAGGCAAAGAATGCCAGTTAGATTCTATTGCCAGCACCTTGTTGTTACTGCTTCCTAATAATCAGACTAAAAGAACGATTTTAAAAGGTAACTTTGAAGACATGAAGTGATAACCCGTGCTGATCTTTCCTCACTTATTCCCAACATTTTAATTGCTTCTAACTTTCAGGTTTCAGTTTCTGCTTTGAAATATAATATCCTAAGTTCCATCTTGCACTGATGCCTGCCTGAATTTTCAATCACTGACCCTGATGTGTGTTCACATGGTACAACCACATTACTGCCAATATATTAACCTTTGGGTTTCTGTGGAAGCTTAATTTTACCCTTCTCCTCTTACAGGGGAAAGGACAAAACAGAACACTACAAGCAGTGAGATGGTTAACTGGCTCCAAGACAGATGTTCATGTTGCTCTAATTTTGACAAAAGTGCATTGGCTTCCTGTGAAGCAAAGGATTGATTTTTAAACATAGTATTTGCAGACCAAGCACTATGTGGCTCAAGTCCAGCTCTCTTGAAAGACTTATTAACAGTACCTCACATTCTCTTTGTTCTTTTGAAAGTCATCAGCGGCTTCAGACACCCACTGTAGCTTCCTGTGGTTCAAATACTAGCGTTCTTTTAATGGTTACTCCTCTTATCTACTGAATGTTTACACTTTAGTTTTGAAAAATGTTCTTCAATAGTTAATTTTAAACAGCCAACAGGATTTTTCCATAAACAAGGTTTTTTTCAGCAATTTCTTGGATTTTGGTTTTCTTATTATGCAGTCATTGTATTTCGTCTTCTAGTCACAAAGCATACTTTAAAAAATATTTACCTGATGATTTTTTAAAAATTATTATGAATAATTAATAATTTTATATTGCTAACGATTTTAATTAGAATTATAGAATGGCTTAGGTTTGAAGGGACCTTAAAGATCATCGAGTTCCAACCACTCTGCTTTATATAATTAATGTTTTCTTTATACATTTTATGTAAGTTTATAGAATTGTCAGGCATCAGTATTTCCCAGGCTGCTCTGACACGTGCTGTAGCTTGAGGCTTTGTCTCTGGAATTATTTGAATTCTGTTATTAATACTCACTGACCTGGGAAGGCTGATTGCAATAGGAGAGCTATAGGAGTTGGCATAGTAAAGCAGTGCAGCTCTGCTCTTCTGCCCTTGTAGGAAATCCATGTGACTCAGCAGCAAGAGTCTGGGAGATGGACACGAGCAAGCTGGGGGTGAAGATAACAATCTCATAGCAAAGCTTTACAATGAATTAAAGGCAATATCTAAGTTTGTAATTTAACAATAAGAGAAAAAAGTCAGGAACAGGTTTTTATAGGATACTGGAGGCCAGTGCAAAGAGAGCCTTGGACTTGCTTTCCAGTGCAGGGAATGTTGGAGGCTTTTTTCAATTACAGATCAAATCAGGTAGCACATCTGAGGCAGTAGGCTTGGGCCTTCAAGTAATTGCTCTAGAGGTAACTCTTAAAGCAGCTTTGGTTTAAGGAGGACTTTGAATGCCATCCAGGTATGTGTGTCTATTTATAGGCACATATGTGTATATACAGATATGTAGAAGAGTGTAGAACTCTATGTATTTTTTCTATGAATATTACCCTGTGTTTGTCTTCAAACTCTCAATAGTTTTTGAGTAAACTTTATGATAGTAATATTACAGATGTGAGAGAGAAGGTGTAAGGCTTGCAATAAGAAATTTCTTTACATTTATACATTTAGTTATAAATCTACGGTTTATCTATGTACATATTTACTATTGTATTTATAAGTAAAACGTTCCACTCTTTCTTTAATTTTGTGTGTGCTAAATCAAATTGTCATCAACTTCAACACTGTAAACTGAGTTAAGTCAATTTATTTTTCTATTTCCATTTACAAATATACGTATTGTCATGTACATTATACTCCAGTGAGAGTTTCAGAAACAAAGCAATTCTCAGGGTGATTTCTTCTCCTTTTTTTTTTTCCTTCCATTTTTAAGAATATCTCAGAAAGTAAATTTTCTTCTCTATAACCAGTGAAATTGATCCCATTTTTATCATGATTTATATCTTCTAATTCCCCACAGCAGACTCAATCTGCAGTGTGTTATATTTGACACACTTGAGTCAAGGCTTAGATTCAAACTTTTGTTCCTGTTTAAAAGGCAGAAAAAGATGCTGGCACAAATTGACTGCCCCTCATTGCCTGAATAAAAATGTCACTCCTTTAAAACTTGGAAACATCAGCATGCAAAATACTACTGCAATGGGCTGTAAAAGGACAGAATGTACCTATGTTTTCCAGCATTCCTATCAGTTTTATTGCTCTTCATCTCTTACAGAATTGCAAAATAGAGCATAAGATTCAGATTATGTACTCAGAACGCTGAGAGAATGGTCCTTCATGGCAGGGCTGACTATATTTAATTTTATTATTTTAATAAATGCACAAAGGCTTGAAAATAAACAGTAGGAGAGTCATAGAGAAATGCCACAGATATTTAACAAATCAAGACTTATCCCTGCTACCTCTATGTTTATGTTAAAATTGGAATGAAAAAAGGAAATATCAGTTACGATTCAGACCAGAAACATTTTTTCATGGTGACTAATCATCATGAAAAATAGATAGGCATAATTTTAATACCAGTGCCTAACCATTCTTCTCTCAGGGAAAACTGCAGAGGTTTCCTTTAAAAATATAATGGGATATCACAGAATTATCGGAGTTGAAAAAGACCTCTGAAGATCATGATATCCAGTGCCCTGCTAAAGCATTTCCTATAGCAGATTAAACAAGAAAGTGTCCAGGAGGCTTTTAGGTAACTGCAGAGGACTCCAAAACCTCTCTGGGCAGCCTGTTCCAGGACTGTGTCATTCTCAAAGTAAAGAAGTTACTCCTCATGTTCAATTGGGACTTCCTGTGTTGCAGTTTTTGTCCATTGTCACTTGTCCTGTTGCTGGGCACCACTGAAAAAGCCTGGCCCCATCCATTTAACTTTTGCACTTTAGACATTTCTTAATATTTATCAGATCCCCTCTCAGTCTTCTCCTCCCTCCTCTTTGTTGCCCTTCTCTGGACTCCTTCTAAGAGATCCCTCTCTTTCCTGAACTGGGGAACCCAGAACTGGACACAGTACTCCAGATGTGGTCTCCCCAGAGCAGAGTAGAGGGGGAGGATCACCTTCCTCAACCCGCTGGCCACGCTCTTTTTAATGCACCCCAGAATACTGTTGGCCTTTGCACAGAGGGCTAATGAGGCTCTCCAAAGAGCATAATGTTGGGGAATTTTAGAGACATGGATAAAGCATATTTAAGAATACATGTTCTGAGTAAAGGATAAAGAAGGCAAAATAGATTTTCACTCACACAGAATAAAGCATGAGCTTTGGCTAGGGAGATATTTCTGTAGGGTATACAGAGGCTACAGCTCTGCCAAAAATTATTGCCTGCAGAAAATCTCACTTTGTAATTTCTGAAAGTATAAGAATGTTTTTTGCCCTGAAGCTTGTTTTCTTTCATGAAGAAGAGACTGTTTCATGAAGCACAGATCACTTTTGTAAGCGAAGGCTTGTTAAGAGTAAAATGTCCCCTATCACATCCCAGGGCTAGAGAAAATTAAAGATTCAGACATCTAGTGGCTAAGTGTTACAACATCTACCTTTTTAGCGTTTGGCCTCAACAGTATATGAAGTTAGGGATATAGTATCTAAGCACTGTAGTCCAGACACATTTATGGCAGGCATATCTATGGGCGCCAAGGACAAATGACATCTTAAGGAACTGCTCAGCGCTGCACATGGGATCCTAAACAGACAGTAATGTTTGGTCAGAGATATTTTTATTTCCCAAGCCTGCTATTTGCTCATATGGACTAGCTCTGTCATCTCCAAAATCTGAGAAAAGCCCCCCAAAATAATATTCTTAGTATACTTTACACTCTCACCCAGGCACCTGAGCCAAGATTGATCCTATCTCTCTTCATCTGATATCTACAGCAAGTAAGACATTTCTCTTTAAAATGAGACGACTGCTAAAAAGTATGGTGGGAATGATTATAAACATACATATTTTATACATGTAAAGTACATCTTATCTAATTCAGTTACAACATTTGTGCAGGAAATGAAAAGCTCTATTTATCTTGGAGATTCCCTAACTTGTTTCTAGTTCCAAAATTTTTTCAGCAACAGGTGACATGGGAAGCTGGCAGAATGGGGGCATTTGCCATCCCCTCATCTCTAATGTCAGGAACAGATCTGTCAACCAGAACTCGATTTTTAGCAAGTGCTCAGTGTAATTAGGAGGAAGGATTCTTGGATGCCCATGACTGAGAAACATCTGCTTTGCACTTTTATTCAGAGAGTGATGAGACACTTGAACAGGCTGCCCAGAGAAGCTGTGGGTGCACCATCCCCAGAGGCATTCAAGGTTGGGTTGGATGGGGCCCTGAATTTATCACATGAATATTGTAGTATATTTTATTGAGCTCAGGATTATTAACTTTATCCATGGGGCAGCAGTTCTAAATGTAATTCTTTTAGAGGAGAGTTCTTGTAATGTTGTCATCTCTCACATAAAAGCATAAAGCTTGGAAGATGTACAGATGTTCCAAAACTGACTTAAGACTACAAGATAATAAAATACACACAAATGGCCCATCAAATTTGTTGGTTATCTACTAAAGAAGGAGCATTTGGAATGTACATTGGAGTACAGAAATAACAACAAATAAGGAAATAAGGCAAACACAACATGTAGCTTATTTTTGGAACACTAATTTCAATTTCTCTCTCTTGAGAACTGAATAGGTTGGAATTTACATGTAAGAATAGGAATTGGTATGATACGAGATGTATAAAATGGTGAAAGGTAGGATAAGCATATGAGCATTCACCAAAAAAGGGAAGCTGCACAAAAACAAGGAAGATACAGCAAAATAGGAAAGTACTGGTTGAAAGGAATAAAAACCTGTATGTAGAATGAGATGCATACTCCATAAAACAGTTTCAAGAGGACAGAAGACGAGCATAGGAAGAAGAAAAGGCTTTGCAGACAGGGTGCAAAATCCAGGGGTTAGTACAAAAACCTTCTGAGGTCACTAGGATTGTTTTGCTCTGCTTTTTGAGACATTCAAAGATCTCTATCTCTGAATTGCAGTCACTGGCAGCAAGGGGAGGTTGTTACTCCTGATAGGATTGACATTATGGGAGATGCACAGAATGAGCTATTTCAAGAATAAATAGGGTATTCTTACTCTTTCATATAGAAGACTGAAGAGATATCTGTTCCAACACCGTGTGCAATTCTTCTGGCCTGTATTCAGGAAGATTAAGTGGAAGTGTAACAAAATGTCAGAAGAAATGGGAGCCTTGCTTATAGAGTCAATGAAAAGTCCTAGCAAAACAAAAGCTGTGCTTAAATATATAAAAGACAAGCATAGAAAAAGAATTTCTTCTCGGTGCTATCTAAAGGATAACACTTGTCAAAAGACAAATAGAGATAACCTCAGTGTATATGATTTTATGCTGGAAATTAAAAGCAACTTTTGAACCCTCTGAGCTTTGAGACAGAAGAAAATCAGTGCTGGGAATTTAACTGGCTGCCATATGTATCCTGTTGCAGGACTGCAGAAGGGAGTGTTTGATCTACTTGCCTAAAGCAGGAGGTCTCTTTCTGCCTGTTTTCCATTTCCTTGAGAGTCTGAATTCACAGCAGAGTTTTTCAGCTACATGCAGTGGAAATCAGTTTCATTTTTCAGAAAAAAAGAATCTTTGTGTTTACCTTCCCCAAAGTTGAAATGTGCACATTTGTATCTGTGTAGCCTTTAACAGTTTTAACATGTGAGTAGATCAATAAGCCAAACAGTTTTAGCGGAACAAATAAACGGATTTTCTTAGTAAACGTTGCTAGCATGTTCTACCTTTTTGTACAGATTTTTGAAATCTGCAGTGAATGCTTAAAACTTTAAAGCTAATTTTCAGTAGAATGTATATTCTTTAAAATAACCTTTCATTCAGATGTAACTTGGAATGGGAGATCGTTACTAGTGAAACTTGAGATCATTTGGGGCTTTCTACATAATTATGTATAGTCTAAATATTCTCTTTATTTCATCCTGCTTATATATTAATTGAAGAACGTTGCTACTAACACTATACTGTCTTGTCCAGAGTTGTTAATTCTACACAGTGTATTTGTGATTTCACTGGGGTGTTGATTACAATGGT